CTTGCAACTTGGAGGCCAGCCTGGGCTACATTTCAGACAGCCCAGACCCCTGAACCACACCCAGTCTCCTACAGAGCAGGGCAAACCAGAACCGAAGAAAGCACAGACACAGGCATGTTTAGAAGTGAAAGTGTTTGTGGGTTCGGACAAGTGAGGAGAGTACTGAGCTGCATTCCGAATCCTGAAATCTTTGTCCAGCTTCCCCTCTAGCTGGAGAGTCTCCCTGGGAGCCCTTCAACAGAACTGAGCCTCCAAACCCTGTAGGCAGATTGGCAGTTTGCTTCCAGCCTGTGATTTTCTAAGTACTCCCTGAGACTATTCGGTATGTTGTGTAAGAGGCTGGCAGTCATTCACAATGTCCCTATCACATCCGTGTACTTATTTCTATTATTAGACCTCCCCATACTTGCCTGCCAGGTGACAAACAGAAACTGACTTTCTTTATTCTCCACTTCTCTGCTACCTCCTTTCTCTTTCTGAATGTGACTTTCCTACCCAAACCAAGTGGAAACACTAGAGTCAGTTTAGTTTATTTTTCTCTTCCCTGTTTTTCAAGACAGGTCTTCTCTATATAGCCCCGACTGTCCTGGAATGCGCTCTGTAGACCAGGCTAACCTCAAACTCACAGAGATCTGCCTGCTTCTGCCTCCTGAGTGCTGGGATTATTTTATATGTGAAAATAATTCAGCATGGAAATTCAGTTTTCTCTTCCAGTTGTGGTGGTGTGGCTCTATTTTTCGAGCCAGTGGCTCGTGACATTTTTCTCATTGATCCTGTCTCTTGGGGCTGAGTGGAATAAATGACTCAGTGGAATAAGGAAAGGAGCCTCCCACCAACCCTGAGGACTGAATTCCATCCTTGGGACCCACACATTGGAAGGACAGAACTGATTCCTGTGAGTTGTTCTCCAACCTCCACGCATATGTTGTGACATGTGTATACCCTCCTACTCAAAAGAAAATAAAAAAGTTTCCTCTCTGCCGATATGACAGTTCCACCGTCGAGTGCTAGCCTAGCATGCTTGAGGCCCTCAAAGACACTGACACCTCAAAAACAAGAGCACATAGCAAAAGTCTCTGACCTCTGTTACTACCCTGTGGTTCCTGGGCAGTGTCACAGAATCCATTGGTCAAGCGACCTGTGGCCATTCTGTGCAGTCGGTATTCCCCACCTGCTGGGACTTCTGCCGTTTCTAAACCACATTACACTCAGGCTGTGTCCTGTTATGCGCATCTGCCCTTTCCAGAAAGTAAATCCCATCTCGTCTGCTAAGTGACAGAGTCCAGACGAGAACTGGAGTCTCCGTGATCTGGGGCATGATGATTGGATTCCTTGCAACTTAATCCCTAGCTCTATAAACCAAGGATTAGGTAGTGACTAAACACAGTAAGTCTCCATTTCTTGAGGAATTAGGCTAAGAGAGGATTAAGTGAGCCGAGCGGCCGGGGTTAGAGGGCCAATAAGAAGCCAAGCCAGGGAAAACCCAGTTCATCTGTTCCTACCACATCCACAGCCCGAGAGAATTTATTTCTCCTTGTTGATTAATCAAAGGCAGCTGTAACTGTCACTTGCAGTGTTTTGAAACTCCCAATTAGCATGAGATAATTGTTGCTAATGCAGCCGTCTGCAGATTATTGCCAAAAGCAGAGAAATGGGCACTCTAGTCTGCAGACTCGGTGTGGGTGGTTTCCATCACGCTCGGGGAGTACTGAACTTCATCTGGCAAGCCTCATGGCAGCTTGGGTCCACCGAAGTCTCCAAAGCTCCCCAGGCTTAGGAGAGCAGCGCATCATTGCCTGAGAGAGGAAGAGCTGACTCAAGTCAGGAAATGTCCTTTCAGAAAAATGGGGCAGGGCAGGATGTGGTGGAACGCGTCTGGAATCTGAGCTGCTGGGGAAACTGAAGCAGGAGGCTTGAGAGTTCAAACGTGGGGCTACCTAGTGAGTTCAAGGTCAAGCCCCGAAACAGTGAGAGTGTCTCGGAATAAAAGCAAGCTGATGTCTCTACGGTAGACCACTTTAAAACACACACACACACACACACACACACACACACACACACACACACACCTGCAAGGTTCTGAGCTCCATCCCCAGTACTGCAAAAATAAAATAAGATACTAAACTAAAATATCCAAAGGCTGCCAGGTCCCATCTTCCCAGTCATCAAGCTGTGCCTCCGGAGAGCACAAGGGTATCTGCTTGCGGTTTGTGAGGTTAGCCTGTCTTTCTATTATGTCTCTGTTCTTTGGAGTGGGGAGGATGGCCATTCAGTGGAGTCAAGGATAGTCCAGCATGCATTGCAAAGCTTCCCGACCCGACTTGCCTCCTGGAGCGCACTTTGTGAATTACCATGGATATCCCCAGCCCTTCCCAGTGGTGAGAGTATTAATGAGACCATCCAGGATAAACCTGTGCTGTAGCAGGCACGTGGGGAACAAAACCAGGAGTCTGCTGGCTCCCTCTGGTGTATTCAATAAGTGTGAGTGTGTGTGTGTGTGTGTGTGTGTGTGCGCGCGCGCGCGCACGCGCGCGCGTGCACGCAAGCGTAGCCAAATGTCAACTTCAGGAGTCCTTCCTTAGGTACTGTCTACTTTGCTTTTTGAGACAGGGTCTCTTGCTGGCCAGTGAGAACCAGAGATCTGCCTGTGTCAGCCTTCCCAGTACTGGGGTTACAGGCACGAGCCGCCACAACTGGCCTTTTAAATGTGGGTTCCGAGTCTGGGACTCATCTAGCTTTGAACTGTCCTGCCTTGGCGTCCCGAGTGCTGGGGTGACAGGCATGTCCTGCCGTGCTTGACTCCACCTGCTTTTAAGTTTCAATGCAGAAAGCCTGTTGTTGAGACACTCTGCTTTGATGGAACCCAGAAAGAAGTGACCTTTTGTTTTCTGTTCTCGAAGCATCTCCTGTTTCGTGAGAGCCATCATTTTTTTTTCTTTTACTCTTGAAAGCAGAGCCCATGTCTGATCCACGTCTTCTACTGCTACGTCGTCCTCTCCAAAATGTGTGCCATCTGGTACCAGACACTGGCCTCCACGCTTACCATGTGTCTATTCTCAAGCCTGACAGAACTGTCTATCAGTAAGGTCTCTCTAGCAGGGGAGGGAAAGGTTGTGAAAGAAATCACTCAGTCATACAAGTAGGAAGTGGAGAAGTAAGTGTGAATTCAATCCATGGCAGAGTATCGCCACACTGTAGACGTCTCCCCTTCCCATGACAGGGTCCTGCTATGTGGCCCAGGCTCTGTGGTCTAGACTCAGTCATTGCCCTAATGCTGCCTCCTGTTAGCTTAAGTGCCTATCCATAATTGTTGAATGTGTGCAGGCTGTTTTGTTATTTAAAAAAAAATAAACAAACTCTCTCTCTCTCTCTCTCTCTCTCTCTCTCTCTCTCTCTCTCTCTCTCTCTCTCTCTGTGTGTGTGTGTGTGTGTGTGTGTGTGTGTGTGCGCGCACGTACCAGAAACAACTTCTGGTAGGTGGTATGAATTCTGAGGATAGAACTCAGTTTGCCGGTCTCAGGACCTAGAGGTAAGTGTCTTTACCAGCTGAGCCATCTTATTGGCCCTCAGTTGCTATTTATTAGTTACACGGAACCAGTACACATTTTGAAGGCCACCAATTGTTTTTATTTTCTGTAAACTGAACTTTCAAAGCCATGCGAAGACCAGAAGAGGGCGCCCAAAATTGACTCATTATGGTGACTGTAGCGTTGAGTTGGTTGCGATTTGGGAAACAACAGTGCCATCTAGTGGAATAATTTAGTAAAATTGCTTTTTCTGAAACTGGTATATTGATTATCGTTTTTGGTCTGGGCTCTCTTTTAATTGGCTTAATTTTAAGTTTTGGTTGCCAGAGGAAAGGTAGGGTGAGCAGGAAGTAGCAGCCTGTTGTGCCGAAGTAGATCAAAGCCAGCCTATTCCCCAGAGAGGCAGTTATACTCCTTATGGTCGTTTGGGTTCGTTGAGCCCATTGACTGCTGTAAATGGCATAAACCCTGAGCTTTAGACACTCCTCTTCTGCTTTTCCAGCCGAGTGCTTTCCAAGGAATAGACTGGTACCCTCTGCTGAGGCTTGCCGCTAGAGACAAGTGACTTGGAATTTCCTCTCCAGCTCCCATCCCGGTGGTGCTTGATAAGATTATAAAATTACAAAGGTCAGCAACTCAGGAGCAAAATTCTACTAAAAGAATTTATATATATATATATATTTATATATGTGTGTGTGTGTGTGTGGTATAGACTCCTTAAGGAATATATATACATATATATACATTTATATATATATATGCATATGTTGTATAGACTTCTTAAGGAATTCTGCTTTTAGGTTTTTTATTTTATTTTATTTTATTTTATTTTTGAGACTGGACTTCTCTGTGTAGTCCCTTCTGTCCTAGAGCTCACTCTGCAAACCAATCTGATGACCCCAGACTCACAGAGACCCACTTGCCTCTGCCTCTCAAAGGCTGGGATTAAAGGCGTGTGCCACCACCCCCCAGCTTCAGAACTCTGCTTTTGAATTGAACTCTGTAGTCAGCTAGCCTACAGAATAGGAAGATCAGAGATTTTGCCCTCCCTGAGGGCAGGGCAGTGGACCTAGTAAGGTGGTGCAGAATCTTTAGTCTCTGCCTTCTGGCAGTCTTCCTCCCTTAAACCAGCCTTGGGCGGGTTGAGGAAGACTGGGTCGCTGTCCCAGTAAAAAGCGTAAACAACAAAGGTGAAAGCCTCAGTCCTACAGAGGCCTGTGTGCCTAGGGACCTGGGTCTTAGGTTAGGCTCTTCCTTCTCCAGTCCCGGCAGCCGCAGAGATGCTTTGGATGTCGTGAGAGTGACTTTCATCTGGTTACTGTCTTCTCAGCTCACACCCCGGCTTCCACAGGAACACTCTGCTTTCGCTTGATTTTGTAACCTTTCTTTGCATAGCTGAGGCCTGGACGACCTCCCCGGGGGTTGAGAAAGCCGGAGAGGTTTTAACGGTTCACATCCTGTGTCTTCCCTCAGCAGCCAGCAGAGCAGCCAGCAGAGCAGCCACGACGATGACTCCAGCAGGTTCCTGAGTCCCCGAGTGCGCCAAGAAAGGTAAGTTCCGAGAAACGGGACTGGTGGGGGGGGGGGGGGGGGGGGGGGGGGGGGGGGGGG